GGTTTTGCTTCTTACGGCGGATGAACAAAGTGTGAATGATTATTGCATTTTTTCCATGTCCCAAAGACGTGCAGCGATCTCCTGCCGCTTCATTTTCTTCAATTCATTTTGACAAATTTGAATCTAATATTCTGTGTTTTGGTTTCAAAAGACGATTTACATTATTTGCTAGAAGTGCAGGTTTCCTTTTTATTTCCTTAGACATACTTTCGATCAAGCTCCTGAGCAAATAAGACTTACGAAAACATGTATTCATAAGAAGCAGACCCCTGTCTGTCCATCACAGATAAGCTAAAACCTTCAGCAACGCATATGAATTCACTGTGATCTGCATCGCTTAAGTCATTTTGCGGACCCTTCAGAGTCGTTATAATGATAATGAGTCGTGTCAATGATAAGGTCTAAAAAACTTTTCAATACTTCTCCTCCGAACTATTAGGAACATTCCGAGATTTATATTTTGATTAAACCTATTTCTGCGGTGCGAGTGTTTAGATTTTGTCTCAGTCACAAAAAATACCGAAGGTCTCTTCATTCTCTGAATAATAGGTAAACGGGCTTGTTTGTTCTGAGACCAATTGATTCTTCATAAGTTTTGTGGGAGGCAAATGCTTTCATTAGAATTTCGAAATATGCACACTCATTTTTGAATTAGTAATATGCAAACATTTTTTGATCTTCTGATGTTGTTTTCTTTCGGCAATCTAAGTTGAAGTATAGATGGGATACAACGAATTCTCACACTAACGGCGACAAGAGTACGAACGTAAACTACTGTCAGTATTCTTCTGCGACTGAAGTATGTTAGTAGATCATTGAGAAAGCTTGTGACCTGCCATACGTTTGCTAGTTTAGAAATCCTTATCTGATAACATTTGTAAAATGATATTAGCAAAGAAAGATGGTGTTGTTAACAGCAGGTGAATGTAATGGTTTATATTTCTGGAATTTTATGCATGGCCAAAATCGGAAAAGTTCTTACCGCTTTCTTGCGGAGACTTGTTTTGCTACGAGAATTCCTACAACCACGACCATCACCAGGAAGAACAAGACGGCAATGGGAGTTGAAATTGAGATTGCTAGTCTCTGGGAGGAAGGAAAAGTATATTTTGATTCAGACAATTTAACTGTGCTTTTCGGCTAGGACTGTTTGAAAGATGCATGCTTCTCCAAGATTTTGCAGCAGTCCACACGACAATTATAGAATTTTCCTTATTTTAAAAATTGTAAAAACCTCCCCTCTTCTTTCTACTTCTCCCTTAGATGGTGCTTTTTTGGCCAAAGGCTATTCTGAGCATTCGAATATCTACTGGTTTTACGTTATGGCGTCAGGCTAAAATGCACTTGTATCAATGGGGTAACCAACTAAATTGCAAGAAATATGCAGTCACTGCAAATTCCATTACTTTACTAGCTATACCTTGGGAAAACGTACTTAAATAATGAAAGGGGGAAACTGTGAGGTCTGTTCAGGGGTTACCTGAAATAGTATTTTTGACTCACGGGATACAGAAGGCAATATAAGATTAACAACATTACCGCACACCTGATGGGTACTTTTTTCGCACCGATTGCCCTCCCAATCTGGAGGACACTGACAATGGAAATCAAGGCCATTAGGATTGCTGACACAAGTTCCATTGTTTAGGCAAATCGCGGTTTCCTCCGCATCCAACTCTTTAAGCCTCTTTGCCTCAAGCTCGCAAGCATCTAGACGGATTTCGCAGCGTTTGCCTCTCCAGCGGCTTTCGCACTCACACATGAAACCATCTGGGCTTTCAGGTGAGGACTTGCAAAATCCATGTCCAGAACAGGTGTCATTGAGGCAAGGCTCGTAGTTGGCATAACACTTGGCATCTAGAAAGTAAAAAAGTGGCCTTTTAATTTAGTTCAACTTAGGTCATCTTGCGAGAAATTAGGCCCGAATAAGCAAGGGCGAGATTTAAAACATAAATAGGAATTGTCAAGAAAAAAGAAATTTTTACAGAAATGAAATTTTGCCAAAAGCCGATGTTTTCTGGTTTC